TCCTGTTACAAATGACACGTTAAACCACTCTGGAACGGTGCATTGGTTCACAAGAAGCTCTACTGGCAAAATCGCTAAAGTGTAAATTCTGTTTGGCCATTAATCGCTTCTTAGCGATTATAACACCGTGCTCCACCGATAAGTCGTGCATGTAACAGACTTCGAACAAACAAAGTCGCAACTTCCATAATAGGTCACAGCTAAATTTCTCGCTAATTTACAGGCAAGAGGCAAAGGGCCATTAATAACCGTTGTAGCCGGCCGAAATACCCGTAATTTCAGTTTTGGTATCCAAGGCGCGCCTGGTAAATATTTGAATGCGACACGACGTGGCAAACGAGATTCGCAAGGGTAGAAGTCGAAACCGGTGAGCCGTAGGCCGATTGTACTCGGTCGCTCTGTTACCGACGGAGTAGGCACGAAAATACGACTAAATCTTTAACGGGCCTGCCGAGTCGGAGATCGACTCGGTCTAGCATGAACAGTAAGACTCTCCTTTCCGTGCGCACCGCTTGCACGCCAGAACTTCCCAGTTTCGCGTTAAGTGTAATAATATACGGTTTGTTGGAACCTCGCGTATTTAAGACTCCAAGTAGCAGCGTGCCGTGTACGAGTTACTTCAACTTCGTCGTTTAAACTCGTTACAACGGTTTACTAGATAACTCGATACGTAATGAGATATGTACTTACTTATCTGCAGTTTTAGCTTGGGGGTTGAAAAATGTGATGTTATTGATTCCGGTTCACGAGGCAGTTTTAACAAATGATCATTGCCTATAATTGTTACAAAGAATGGAAATGAATGAAGTTGTCTGTTTTACGGTTCAAATAAATTTTGACGCGTTAATGAAGTATTAATTTGAGGTTAGAGTTACTTCTGAAAAATGTGAGTACGTATATTTTTAGATATAGCACTGTATATAACTGTTATTGAATAACTATTGAAATTTCACAGGTGTAAAAAGGAGGTGAACAATCCTATAATTCTCGGTGCTGTCGTTAACTAACTTTTCGTAACACATATTTATTTATATTTATTATAATAACAACTTCGAACCGGTTTCAAAATATTGTTATTTTAACTATGGCGCTTTATCCAAGTAATTCTATAAACAAACAGGTATGCAAAAATTCTTCACCTATTCACTCATCTACTATACCAATTCATTCTACTTTCCTAGATTATCACAAACATCGAAGAGACAAATTTTTTATCTAAAGATTCCAAAGAG